CAATTAACATCACTAAAAAGCTCCCAGTTTGCATTTCCACTATTCTGCCCATCCTGCAAGCCCAAACTTGACAAATTTATTGTTTTGCTTGAACGGGTGAACACTTTAGAAACATGTCTTGCATCCCTTGAAGAAAAGGAAAAAATGCAGAAAAGTGAAGCACCAGTATCCCAGAATCATGACACAGCCCAACAACCCAAGCTGCTGGAAACCACTAACCCTGCAAGTAACATTTCCATCCTTGTTAAAGACATGATTAAACATGAACAGAAGTATCCCAACACTATCTTATTTGGACTTGAGGACACCAAAGAATCCGACGACATTGCAAAGGTTCGCAACATCATCAGTAACTTCCAGGCATCAACCATCGCTCCTGATGAAATCATTGATGTTTCCCGCGACAGCAGAACAGTGATGGCTTGGTGGCCCCACGTTTCTGCAGAGTCATTTGCAAGAGTGAAATCAGCAAACACAAATTCATTTCCACAATAAACTCGCTCGCCAAAAGTAGCACTAACCATAGGAAAATTTGTTTGTGGCCTGACCTATCCATAATGCAATGTGCCCGCGCCTGTGAGCTCAGCTCAGAGCTCAAACAATACCAGGACCAAGGAGAAATTAATCTGTACATAGACTACCACACCGACTGTATCAAATGCAGGACAGTGGCCCACGTCCCAACAGCTGCCCCCCCCAACAATCAAAACTAGGCATGCATACCCCAACTTCCTTCAGGTCCACCCCTACTGGCCTAAAATGTAAATTACTAAATGCAAGAAGCCTTGAATGCAAAATGCCCAAATCCCTTCTGCTTCTAAATGCAGCCCTATTCAAACTTATTTTTGTCTGTAAGACATGGTTGAATGTATCCTTTCCAGACTCCATTATTACAGTAAGTGACTATCATCTGACCGTGATAATCGTAGAGGGGGTGGTGCTGCTATCTTCTATAAGAAGTCCCTAGGTCTGAAAAAGATACACAGGAGCTTGCTCTTCCTGAGACCATTGTCTGCGAACTGTCCCTAAATACCACACTTGCTAAGTTAGAGAGCCCCTAATTACAACCTTGGTCATACAAACAAGCAAACTGCACTTCTAACGCTTCCTGCCCTCACCCCCTTATTTTTCTTGGTGACCTCAATTTGCTTCTTATTACCTGGACCCTAAATGAATGTACAACTGAACCTATACATGTAACCCTGCACAATGGTGTTACAACTCTGAGGCTGGAGCAGTTGGTAACGAACAATACTAGACTCAACAATTGTTTAGATATCATTTTCTGCAATAGCATATGCTTAATTTATGGCCTACAAGTTAAAGAACCTTTTTCCAACAGTGATCACAGCATGATTGATTTTTGTCTCAACTTGTGTCCTTGCAAAGAGGATCATAATGATGGGACTCCAAATTATAACTATAAAAAATCCAACTATGATCTCATAACTGCTGACCTCACATCTCTTGATTGGCACCTCCTTTTCACAAGTTTTATTTATTGTTACCATTATTGTTACCTTTATTGTACAATGTGTACAATGAGATTGGCTGAACCTCCCTTCATGCACCCCCATCAATAGAACTCACAGTGAGGACAGAAGTCCCTAATCCAGTCCCAATCTTATTACACTATGTGATCTTGTTGTACAACGCGCTGGCCTCGCAAGTCTGTCATACTATGTTGACATGAAGTTATTTTCCATTCAGAAGTCTGACAGCCCACGGGTGGAAACTGTTCTTCAGCCTGTTGATGCGGCTGGCTATGTTTCTATATCTCCTACCTAATGGTAGGAGAGTGAAGAAGTGCTGACCCGGATGTGAGTCGTCTCTGAGAATTTTCCTCACTCTTCTAAGGCAGCGAGCCCTAGCGATGTCATCTAGTGGTCTCAGGGAACAGCCCACAATGTTTTGTGCTGTGCTCACCACCCTCTGTAATGTCTTTCTATCCATGGCTGTCAAGCCAGCACACCACAACGTAATGCAATATGTGAGGACGCTTTCTATTGTGGACTGGTAAAAGGAGGTCATCAGTCATTGTTCCACTTTATTCTTTTGCAAGATTCTAAGAAAATGGAGTCTGTTGGGCCTTTCTGGCCACCTGGATTGTGTTGATTTTCCAGGTGAGATCTTCACTTAGGTAGACTCCCAGGAATTTAAAGAAGGAAACTCTCTCCACACAGCCCCCCTCGATGTAAAGTGGGGTGGGTTCCTCTCTCTTCTTCTGGAAGTCTAACACCATCTCCTTTGTCTTGCTGATGTTTAGGTGCAGGTTGTTTTCTAGGCACCATGAGGATAATTTTTGAACCTCCCCCCATACGCTGTTTCATCTCCACCTGTAATGAAACCCAATACAGTAGCATCATCTGTGAACTTAATGATCACAGTGGATGGGTCAGACAATACACAGTCATGTTTGTACAGTGGGTACAGGTAGGGACTGAACACACAGCCCTGTGGGGAACCAATGCTAAGCTTCAGGGAGGTGGATGTGACAGGTTGTAATACTGCAGAAGACCATTATAACACTTCTTTGCTCGAAGTCAATAGAGTCATTAATCTATACGTATCAAAAATAACCCCTAAAGCCAAAAATAAAAACAAATTACCCATACCAATAAGAAAGCTACAATCCAAGAAAAAGTCTCTTTGGTGAGCAAACAAAACTGGCTATGTAGCTAACTTTAAAACCTGGTACAAAACCTTATGCTGCCAGATAAAAGTCAAATGTACCATCATCATTGCAAACAGGAGGAACAGTTGTTAAACTCGAACTCTTCCCGAGCCTTCTATAATTTCGTTAATGCCAAACGTAAAGACTCAAAATCTATCCCACCCCTAAAAGGGCCTAACGGGGAAGACTGTAATGATGAAGCTACAAAGGCCAACCCCTTTAATACATTCTTCAGTACAGTCTTTGTCAACAGCAATGGCTGCTGCCCCCATTTCCTAGTTGCACCACAACAAATTGTAATGACTTATTACATATTGACTTTGCAGCAGTTAACATTGAAACAGCACTACATAACCTAAAGTCATCCCTATCTATTGGCCCTGATGGATTATGTGCCTACTTTTTGAAAAAGCTTGCCACTGCCCTAGCCGAACCTCTAAGCACAATCTATGAGGTATCTTTTAGAACCAGCTCCCTGCTGGACTTATGGTCATTAGCCATGGTCATACCTATTTTTTAAAAAAGAGACCCTAGTCTGATAGAAAATTACAGACCAATCTCACTGTGTTGCATCACCTGTAAAGTCATGGAATCAATTATAAACCAATCCATCACTCTACATTAGAAACAAAAACCTACTTTCTAACAAGCAGTTGGGTTTCAGGAAAAATGTATCCTGTAATCTTCTAGGAGTTCTATACTGCAGAAACATGTGGACCACACATCTAGACTAGGGTAAAGCAATAGACACAATTTACATAGACTTCTGCAAAGCCTTTGATTCAGTGGTGCACGACAAACTACTGCTGAAACTTAGTTCTTACAGCAGGTAACAAATGGTCAAAATAGGGAAGGCCCTATCAAATCCAGCACCAGTTAATAGTGGTTCTCCCGAGGCAGTTTCTTAGGACCCACACTCTTTCTGCTTTACATCAATGTGACAACATTAAAATCAGCTGCGTCCTCTTCGCTGATGATGTAAAATTATTTAACACCACCAACAATGCTGCTGCTTTACAAAGCAACCTTGACTGAATGGTCATGCAATTGGCAACTCCAAATTTCAACTAATAAATGCTCTGTCCTACACATTGGCCCGCAAAAAATCAGAACACCAAATACAAGTTAGGCAGAAGTAATCTCGCAGACTACCCTCACTCTGTTAAGGACCTACGAGTACTTATCTCAAACGATCTAAACCCCAGAGCTCACTGTAACAGCATTGCCAAAAAGGCTTTAAGAATTGTTAACCTTATTTTGCAAAGCTTCTTCTCCGGCAACATTGAATTGTTAACTAGGGCACACAAAACCTTTGCCAGACCAATTCTCAAATACAGCTCATCTGCCTGGAACCTGCACTGTATATCGGACATTAACATAATTGAGAGGATTCAGAGGTATTTGAATTGACTCCTCCACTCACAATAGAATTCCCTATGCCTCCACGCTCAAAATTTTGGGCCTGGATAATCTGCACTTGCGGTCCGATCTAAGCATAGTTCACAAAATTGTCTGCTATAGCATCTTGCCTGTCAATGACTTCTTCAGCTTCAACCACAATAATACACGGGCAAACAATCGATACAAACTCAAGGTAAACTGCTTCAAACTTGATTGCAGAAGATATGACTTCAGCAACAGAGTGGTCAATGCCTAGAATGCTCTACCCGGTTCTGTTGTTACAGCCTCAAACCCTTGCAGCTTCAATCGCATACTCTACTGTGGACCTCACCCCATTTCTAAGAGGTCCATAAAGGGGGTGTGCATAAACGCATCAGCGTGCCTACCATCCCTGTCTTATTGTCCCCATTTATCTGTATTTACTTCCATTGTTCATGTTTATGTTCATACCTATACTTATTATCTTGTACATGTTTGACAAATAAAATAAAATAAGTAAATATGAACCACTTGCCAAATGTCTGACCATGGAGATGGTGCAATGGTCATAAGTGTGAAAAATGGTCATAAGTCAATTTTTTCAGTGCCATTGTAACTTTGAATGGTAACTAAGTGAACTGTTGTAAGTTGAGAACTACCTGTAGTTGTCTAATTCGCTACTTAAGTGGAAAAGTAGCAAAAAAAATAGGCAGTTTGAATAATATAATTTTGTTATTTGAGGGTCTAGTAAGGATTGGAGAAATAGACTGATTTGCATAATTGTCTAGTTATAACACAGGAGCTGTTCTTTTGTCTTTATTCTTGAATTCTGAAAAGGGGAGAAAAGATTGATGTTTGCATTCTGCAAAGAATTGCTGCTAGCTTGATCTTTTCCTCATGTAGTTATGATGAAATGATTACTTTCTTTTTACTGTGTTCAATATAGGTAGTCCTTCCAGTCTTTATTTTAGAGAAGAGGTCTCTGCTGGAGATGTTTGCAAACTTCTTGGCCCATCCAGACCTGTTTTTATCAATTTCGTGCGGAACCACTCCTGAGGAAAGAATCATCTCCTTTGTGGAGTACTATTTGACAGCCTTTTATGAAGGCCGAAAAGGAGTTGTTGCCAAGAAGCCATATAATCCAATAATTGGAGAAACATTTCATTGTTCTTGGAATGTGCCAAAGGACAGAGTAAAACCAGTGAGAGCAAACACTGCCTCTTGTGGTCTCAAGGGGAAAGCTTCATCAGAAGGTTATAGGCTAAGATTTGTAGCTGAACAAGTGTCCCATCATCCACCAGTAACCAGTTTTTACTGCGAGTGCAAAGAGAGGAAAGTATGTGTGAATGTTCACGTATGGACCAAAAGCAAATTCATGGGGATGTCTGTAGGTGTTTCTATGGTAGGTGAAGGTAAGAAGTGTCACAAACAGATTACATTTTATATAGCATGCTTATTTATTAAAAAGACATAAAGGAAAACCTGAAGATTTCTTATTATTCCCCCTTCCGTACAATTTATTTAGAATAAAAGAAGCAAAACATTCAGCCTCCAAACACAAAAATTAATAGAAATGCTATTTAGATAAGAGTTGAGTGGGAATATATTGAATGTATAGTCAGAAAAGGGAAAAATGGATAAGTATTGATTTGTGCTTTGTTTTGTCAGTGAATAAGATGTACAGTTTGTGTTAATATTCAATTCTAAAAAAATGTGTAGATATATGTAAAACATTATAGAGAATGGAGTAACAGAATTGGAAGGGACCTTGGAGTCTGGTTCAACCCCCTGCTCAAACAGGGGAGCTTATACTAATTGTTCCGAACTGTTCTGGCTGCAGTAGAAGTGACGGCAACAGTGGGGAGGGGAGGGAGGGATGGTTTCGCATGTGCAGCCTAGCTCTTGCTCATATGCAAATGAAGCTTTCCATATTTGCCTACCACTTGTGCGGCCCAGTTTTCAATGGACTGAAGACTGGTACCGGTCCATAGCCCAGACAAATGGTTATCCAATTTGGCTTAAAAACCTCCAGAGATGGAGCATTAACAACTCCATTAATGAATTGCTTTAACTTCCAGGAAATTTCTCCTTATTTCTAGGTTGGATCTCTCCTTGAAGTAGTTTGCATCCATTGCTTCTATCCTTGCCATCTTCTCCCATTAGTGACTGATTGTTTCCTTGATTTTTTCCTTGCTTTTTACATGTTGAAAAGGACTTCTTGTATTATATTTTACATTGGTTGCAAGCGTTAGTTCCTTCTGAGCCTTGGCTTTCTTGACCTCATCATAGCAGGTGTGGGCTGTATACTGATATTCTGCCTTAATTATGTGCTTCTCTTACTACTTTTTACATTTTTTTTTTGGTCTTTTCGTTTATCAGATAATCCTTTGTGCAGCCAAGCTGGTTTTATCCTTCTTCATTGATGTTGTGTTGGACTGGCCTTTTATAACCTCACTTTTCAAAATTTCCCATGAGAATTGTTTTCCTCTTGAGGATTTTCATTCACTGAATCCCTCCCAAGCACTCTCTAAGTTTATTAAAATCAGCTCTCTTGAAGTCCGAGACTCTAGTTTGACTTTGTTTTATTGCTTGAGCTTGCATTATGTTAATTTCTGATATTGCATGGTCATTCTCACTTAAGGTTCCTATAACTTCGACTGCTTCTATCATTTCATCTCTGTTAGTGAAAATTAAGTCCAGTGTGGCTGACCTTCTAGTTCCTTCTCTGCCTTTTGGGAGACAAGCTGTCTGCTAGGTTCGTTGGGAACCTATTTGATATTTCATTAGCTGCAGAGTTGATGTTTCCCAGTTGATATCAGGGTAGTTGTAGTGTCCCATTACTATTGAGGTGTCTTTTGTTCACATTGTGGCTAACTGATTAGCTAATATTTCATCTATTTCCTCTGTTTAGTTAGGTGGTTTGTAGCATGCACCTATGGCAATGTCATTCCCTTTTCCTTTTAAGTTAATCCAAATGCATTCAAGAAGTTTTCATCATTCTGTTGCATTTCTATAAAGGTGTATCGTAATTATTTCTTATATATAGTGCACCTCCTCTTATATTCCTCTTCTTCTGTGTCTAGATCAAACTTAAAAAAGTCATTTTTGGTGCATATTTTTAGTAGTAGCTGACACACCAGCAGATGAATTAGGCTCCATGTCTCTCCACATTAACATAGCATTGTTATCTGCTAAGAATCTCCACATAGATAACATTATCTTCTCAGAATCTCCACTTAGCATGTTGATTTTACATTTAGGCACTCCAATTTTCAATCTATTCAGGGTCCTCCAAGTAGTATGAGTAATTTCATTTATAGTTTGCAAAGGGGAAAAGATGAAATTTTCTAATACCTCACAGAAGGATAGTCTTTAAATATCCAGCAGTACCTTCTGAGATTAATTAGCCCTATAGGATTGATAGTATCTCTAATTTGTTAAATTGATTCTAATATTCAAGATATCTCCTTTGAATTTCCTATTGTAAGGATGTGCAAGCTGATGCTCTTTAGATATTTATATAAATTGCCCATCCCTGTCCTATGTCATGTATGATATTACATCCTAATAATGGATATTCATATGATTATAAAATGTTATTCAACCATGATAGACAAAATTCCAAAGCTGTCATATTACAGTCCCTTGATTTCTGCAAATCCATGTAACCACCATTCATTGTAGTAGTGTGATTGAATGGTTAGCACAATAGCTAAAGTTGAATCAACAAAACCTCAATTGCAAAAATTCATTATCATTACCTGCACCAGTCTTTTCCTTCTTGAAAGAAGTTAGAAGGAAGATTAATATTTCATCTTTCTCAAACTGTTTTGTTTAAGCATACATTTTAACAATGATCATGCTTCTCCAAATTTCTGAATGCTAATCTCTTCTTTTCCCTTCATATCCATAGGCATTCTTTATCTCTTGGAACATGGGGAAGAATATATATTCACATTACCTTGTGCCTATGCGCGTTCTATACTTACTATTCCTTGGGTGGAGCTTGGAGGCAAAGTTAATATTCACTGTGCCAAGAGTGGTTATTCTGCTACAGTCACATTCCACACCAAGCCATTTTATGGAGGAAAACTACACAGGTATCAAAACTAAGTTTTGCTCTCTCCTTGAATTAAACTATTAAAATAGTAAGGCACAAAATATAGATTGGTCTATTGTTTATTGCTTACAATTCTGCAATTGTGATTTTTTAAAATACACTGCTCAAAAAAATAAAGGGAACACTTAAACAACACAATGGAACTCCAAGTCAATCACACTTCTGTGAAATCAAACTGTCCACTTAGGTAGCAACACTGATTGACAATCAATTTCACATGCTGTTGTGCAAATGGAATAGACAACAGGTGGAAAGCATAGGCAGTTAGCAAGACATCCCCAATAAAGGAGTGGTTCTGCAGGTGGTGACCACAGACCATTTCTCAGTTCCTATGCTTTCTGGCTGATGGTGGTCACTTTTGAATGCTGGTGGTGCTTTCACTCTAGTGGTAGCATGAGATGGAGTCTACAACCCACACAAATGGCTCAGGTAGTGCAGCTCATCCAGAATGGCATATCAATGCAAGCTGCGGCAAGAAGGTTTGCTGTGTCTGTCAGCATAGTGTCCAGAGCATGGAGGCGCTACCAGGAGACAGGCCAGTACATCAGGAGACGTAGAGGAGGCTGTAGGAGGGCAATAACCCAGCATCAGGACCGCTAATTCTGCCTTTGTGCAAGGAGGGACAGGAGAAACACTGCCAGAGCCCTGCAAAATGACCTCCAGCAAGCCACAAATGTGCTTACAGCCCAACATCGTGCAGGATGTTTGGCATTTGCCAGAGAATACCAAGATTGGCAAATTCACCACTGGCGCCCTGTGCTCTTCACAGATGAAAGCAGGTTCACGCTGAGCACATGTGACAGACGTGACAGGGTCTGGAGACGCCGTGGAGAACATTCTGCTGCCTGCAACATCCTCCAGCATGACCAGTTTGGCAGTGGGTCAGCAATGGTGTGGGGTGGCATTTCTTTAGGGGGCTGCACAGCCCTCCATGTGCTCGCCAGAGGTAGCCTGACTGCCATTAGGTACTGAGATCAGATCCTCAGACCCCTTGTGAGACCATATGCTGGTGCGGTTGGCCCTGGGTTCCTCCTAATGCAAGACAATGCTAGACCTCATGTGGCTGGGGTGTGTCAGCAGTTCCTGCAAGACAAAGGCATTGATGCTATGGATTGGCCCGCCCGTTCCCCAGACCTGAATCCAATTGAGCACATCTGGGACCTCATGTCTCGTTCCATCCACCAACGCCATGTTGCACCACAGACTGTCCAGTAGTTGGGGGATGCTTTAGTCCAGGTGTGGGAGGAGATCCATCAGGAGACCACCCGCCACCTCATCAGGAGCATGCCCAGGTGTTGTAGGGAGGTCATACAGGCATGTGGAGGCCACACACACTACTAAGCCTCATTTTGACTTGTTTTAAGGACATTACATCAAAGTTGGATCAACCTGTAGTATTTTTTTCCACTTTAATTTTGAGTGTAACTCCAAATCCAGACCTCCATGGGTTGTAAATTTGATTTCCCTTGATAATTTTTGTGTGATTTTGTTGTCAGCACATTCAACTATGTAATGAACAAAGTATTTAATAAGAATATTTCATTCATTCAGATCTAGGATGTCTTATTTTTGTGTTCCCTTTATTTTTTTGAGTAGTGTATTAAAAACTTTTTTATATATAAATGTGCATGGATGTGAAGTAAAGACACAATTGAACCAGAATACTGTGAAGTGTGAAACTCATTGTTCTGTTTTCCATTGCATTAGATCACTATGTAATCAATATTTTGGAATGAAGAGTTGTTTCTGTTTTTTTATTTAAGTTAAATCATACTGAACTTATATTAAGAATGCTGTCTACTTCAAAAGTATATGTGGCATATATTTTTAAAAAGTAAAATCATAATAAGCAACTATGCTCACCTCTCTGAATGTTTTACGGTGAAGTATTTAGGTATATTCAAATGTCAGTAACCTTAAATCTTTATTATTTATACCAGGGTTACAGCAGAGGTGAAGCACAATCCAACCAATACCATAGTGTGTAAAGCACAAGGAGAGTGGAATGGCATTCTGGAATTCACATATAGCAATGGTGAAACCAAAATAATTGATATCACCAAATTACCCATAATCCGGAAGAAGATCAGACCAATATCAAAACAAGGCCCCTTTGAATCAAGGTGGAACTATTTTGGTGAAATCTCATCAAATTGTATTTAATTGTATTTAAGGCAACTAGTGATCAAAAAGTGGGTTCCTTTGTTTTGCCAGATATACACAATTGCTGCATGCTGAATAGTATTGAGAATTGTCCATGCTCTAAGCCAAAATGGCTCAGTGTTACTTTCTTGTGGATTTTTTTATGAGTAAGGGCAACTCATAAGGAATTTAAAAAATACATAAGAGCATGCTGAACTAATTGTAGGTGAATTGATAATATTTTTTATTAATTGCTATGGAATAAATTGAGCCATATCAAAGTGTCAAAAGATTGTATGAAGTTTCCAGAGGGAACAGAATTATGACAGTTCTAAATAAAACAGTTGATAAGGGAAAACATTTAGCCTTTTCTAATTGTATGTTTTCAATATAAGTATTGTTCATGATTTATACAGTTTATTAATTTCTTGTAGTTCATTTTAATCACCAATGTACAGAATAGTTTGTAAATGTTCAGATTGTAGCAAGCAGATATAAGACTTTATTTATTCTTACATTCATGTTCTCTATTTTTATTAGGTGCTCCAGATGGTAAAGCTGAGGGCTATATCTTATTTGATTCTCAAAAAAACTTTTGAAAAAAGAAATAGTTCTGGAAAATGTTGTAGAAGTCTCTTGAGTTAGTATCTACTCTTAAACATTTTGGTTCAAAGAAAAGAAAAGGGGCTTTTTAAATTAAATTAACTAAATGCTTTTGTTTTCCATTATTAGCTGCTCAGATACTTATGTAAAATAGGCTGGCATATATACCTCCTAAATAAGTAAATAAAAATTGTGATAAGCAGAAGTCCAACCATATAAAATTTGATTTTTTTTTACAAAGTTGTTGGAGTGCTGTGCTTAATTGAACTTTTCTGAAAAAGTGTTTCCACACTGGCAGTTTTGGCTTTATCCTATCTCCTCAGGGCTTCAGTGGACTTTGTCAACAAGTTTCCTTCCATACAAATCAACAGGCAAGATTATAGCTCTTTTACAACAGGTTTGCTTTCAAATCAAGCCTTCTCCTTCTTTCTCTATCTAAGGCATTTATGGCAACATGTCACTGCTGCCCTGAAGGAAGGTAACATTGATGCGGCAACAGAACATAAGCAGGTCCTTGAGGAGAAGCAACGAAAAGAGGAGAGGCAACGAGGAACAACCAACACACTTTGGAAACCAAAATATTTTATCAAAGAGGTAATGGGAAAGATAATAGGCAACAGAAATGTTCAGTCATTGCATCTGAATATCTTTATGACATTTCAGTTTTGAGTTTTGAAGGTCTTTCATAATTATACAACTGTTTAGAGTAACCTGTTTGGATATGAGGGTAATATGGACAAATATTAATTAATTTCATCTTATTTTGTACGTCCTTTCTTTGTGGGCTTCTTTGCAATTTCTTCTCCAATTTTTTATATTTTTCTTCTAAAGTCTTTTGTGTCTGCCTCTTTTTTCTATTTCTCTTTCCCACATATGTTATAGTTAGTACGTTTTGTAGTGAAGTCTTTTCTCTTTTGTTTTCATTTAAGAAAAATTTCAACTCTTTTTCCATATATCTTATAAATTCTTTTTCTTTCAATATTAGGTTATTCATTGTCCACCTTGACCTCTTTTGTTGTCCCTTTCATATTACTTTTATCGGATTGTGGTCTGGCCAGATATTCGTTTCAATACTTATTTCTTGTATATTAGTAATGAAATCTGTAGATGCCTGCACCATATCAATCCTAGACCAAAACAGATATATATTTGAATAAAATGTATATTGATTGTTTTTTGGGTGTATTTCTCACCATGCGTCTTGGATTGCTAATTCCTCCATCATCTTGAAGAAAGATCTTGGTAGTGTTTTCATTTTTTTGTTCATTTTTTGTGTTTTATAGTCCATTTCCGCATCGACTGTTGCATTGTAATCTCCCAAAATACATATACTTTCGTCCTCAAATTCCAATATTTTCTTGTGTAATTTATCATAAAATTCTTCTTGATTTTCATTTGGTGCGTATATTGCCACTAGTAGTGTCTGCTTACAATTCATCGTCATTTCCACCATTGTTCTGACTCAGCCAGGTTCCCAGAGAGCAAACACAGACAAACTCAGTAACTCAAACCTTCACAGCTTTAATCCACAAATAAACTTCTTTGTAGATTTGTAGATTGAAACAGAGATGGCGGCGACAGTAGCAGCAGCTTGAGGAGCTCCAGCGGGCATGGGCAGCTCCAGGCGACAAGCTTTCTAATCCCTGCAGGTCCAGCCGGCAAGGTGGAAAGCCTAGCGCCCGAGACTTGCCAGCAAGCCAGAAGGGAGCTCCATTCCTCAGTAAATGCTCAAGTCAAAAGTACTCGGCTATTTCCGATTCTTCCCATCCTTGACCAGCATGCTAGAGGAGAGCTCAATCCTCAGAAAGCGCTAAATTCAAAAGCAGTCTATTCAAAAGCACTCAACGATCTGCAATTCGACCCATCCTTGCTAGAATGTAAGGCGGTGGGGCTCTCCAGTGCCGGGGGCTCTACAGTCATCCTTGCAGGGCAGTGAGACGGTGAGATACATCCCATCCTTGCAGGGCAGTGAGCACTGAGAGCTGTGAGTCGGTCTTCAGATGTTTGCAGCCAGGTGAAGCAGACTGCTTCCCCCCCACTGCCCCTCTTTCCCTCTTCCCTCTTCACCAAATTGCTATTCTGGACACCGTCTTTAAAAGGACAGTAACTTTGGACTTCCAATAAGTAGGGAAGTACTGTTATAACTGAACTCCTGTGAAGATTGGAACCGATTTTATTTCCTGTGATAGAAGCAGAAGTATATTGAAGCCAGGAGTGAATGCTCAATACAAATCTGAGTCTACATAGTAAAAATATAAACTGTTCAAAAGCTCCAAAGTCATTAATCTTTGAGAGGAAGAAACTGGCTGTGATTCACCCCTTTTTGATGACAAAATGCAAATCCAGCAAACACTTTAAATCAGCCATCTCCATAGGCTGTGTTTTCCCCCCCCTAAAGAGAGAATTTCAACATTCAACCAGCGATTTTAAAAAAAAGCATTTTCTAATTCTACCTCCATAGCTATATCAATGATTAGATAATCAATTTCTAAAAATAATTAATTTATCAATTGTTTAATTGATTTATTGTTTTAATTGATCAGTGTGATTAGAGTGTTTAATGCAAATAGTGTGATTACTGATTAATGTAAAAAAAATCAGGCTTAATGTAATTTAATTGATTAGTAAATTAGTGATTCAGTGAATTTAATTGAACAGTGTATTTAACAATTAGTGTAATTAATTAATTAGGCTGATTATTGCTTAGCATAATTACTTGACTAGAGAGATTATTGTAATTGATTAATTGGTGTGATATTGGCTATATGGATTACCCAAAATTGTTTTATTAAGCAATTTAATCAACATACTATCTCAACAAACCCACCATGCCAGTAAAGAAATCCAATACCAAATCATAACCTAAAGAAAAAAAAATCCCCACCAATGAACCACAAGACTCCTGCACATGCTTTATATGCTTTGTAACTCTAAAGGTTAATGAAAATTCCATCAAATGTTCTCTATGTGAAAAATATGCTCATCATGACTGTCTGGAATTACTCAAGCAAATGACTCAATTCCTAGAAACATCCAATTATGCATTTCCATTTTTCTGCCCACCATGCAAACCCAAACTGGACAAACTTATAGCCCTGTTTGAAAGAGTTGACTCCATAGAAACGTGAATATCATCCCTTGACACCATAGTAGCATCCCTGAATACTTTAAATGAAAGATTAACTAACCTTGAAAAAAAAAAAGACAAACACACAAACCTGAACATCCAATAGCTACAAACCAACAACTGCAACCTAATCCACAAAAAACATAAATCCAACAAATAATGATATCCCAATCCTCGTCAGAGAAGCTGTTGAACGCGAACGAAAGCATCCCAATGCCATCTTATTTGGTCTAGAGGACATCAATAACGATGATATCACAATTGTCCACAACATCATCAGTGACTATCAGGCATAAACCATCTCCCCTGATGAAATACTTGACATTTCCCGCATTGGCCGAGAGCTCAAAAACAGAGATGGCTCTGTGGCTCCACATTTCTGCAGGGTCATTTGCAAAAATGAATTAAGCAAATGTAAATTCATTTATACTATAAATTCACTCGCCAAAAACAACACCAACCATAAAAGCCTCTGATCTCATCCTGACCTAACCTTACAGCAATGTGCCCGCTCCCGTATACTACGCACAGAACACAAAAATCGTCTAGACAATGGAGAGAAGGACCTGTACATTGATTACCATGCAGACAGTATCAAAAGAAAGTCACACAACCAACAAGTCAGTATCCAACCTTACTTCAACCAATCCACCACCACCCAAGACTAGGCATGCACACCCCCAATTACCTCAATTCAAACTACAACTGGCCTTAAATGCAATCTACTCAATGCAACAAGCCTTGTAAATAAAATACCTGAATTTCTCCTCTTACTAAATACGGCTAAATTCGACATCATATTTGTCTGTGAAACGTGGCTCAACGCATCTCTCCCTGACTCCATTACCTCATTAAGAGACTATCATGTTTACCGATCTGATCATGAAATCTGTAGAAGAGGTGGTTTCTATCTTCTATAAAAAGTCCTTACATCTAAAAAACATCCAAGTTACCCAGGAGCTTGCTCTTCCTGAGACCATTATCTGTGAACTGACCTTAAATATCACATTTTGGTTCTTACTATGTTACAGAGCCCCTGATTATGACATCGAACATGTAAACAAGCTAAATACACTACTAACATGGGCAGCATCCTGCCCACACACTTTTTTTCTTTCTTGGTGACTTCAATCTACCTCATATTAACTGGACCCTAAACGAATGGACAACTGAACCCATACATGCAACTTTCTACAATGCTGTAACAAATCTGGGACTGGAACAACTAGTAACCAACAATACTAGGCTAAACAACTGCCTTGATCTCATCTTCTGCAATAGTTTAAATTCAATTTACAGAATACAAATTAAAAAACCCTTTTCCAACATGAACCACAACACGATTGACTTTTGTCTCAACATACGTCCACACAAAAATCATCACAATGACAAAATCCCCAATTATAACTTCAAAAAAGGCAACTATGATCTTATAATCAATTATCTCTCTTCCCTTGATTGGAAATTTCTATTCACTGGATGCAATACTGTTGAAGACCATTACAACATATTCTTACTAGAAATCAAAAGAGCCATCAAACTATATGTACCAATAACAACTCCCAAAACCAGGATAAACAGATTACCCATAACAATAAGGTAGCTTCAATCCAAAAAGAGATCACTTTGGCGAAAAAACAAATCTGGTCACATTGCCAACTTCAAAATCTATGCCACCAGATGAAAACTGAATGCACTAATTATCACATTAAACAAGAGGAAAACCTTCTACGGACAAATTCCACCTGCACTTTCTACAATTTTGTAAACAACAAACTGAAAGACTCAAGGTCCATCCCACCCCTGAAAGGACCTAATGGAAAAGACTGCAACGACGACACCATCAAAGCAAACCTCTTGAACACATTCTTTGGCTCAGTATTTGTAAACAGCAATGGATCAAGCCCAGTACTTCCTAGTCAAACCACAGACAACTACAATGATCTAATACATATCGATTTTACAGAAGACATTGTTGAAAAAGCACTGCGCAATCTAAAACCATCCCTATCTATTGGACCGGATGGAATATGTGCCTACTTCTTAAAAAAGCTATCCACTGCCATAGCCAAACCTCTAAGCATAATCTTTGAAAAATCTCTCAGGACCAGCTCCTTGCCAAACCTATGATCACAAGCCATGGTAATCCCCATTTTCAAAAAGGGAGACCCCAGCCTAGTTGAAAATTACAGACCAATCTCTTTATGCTGCGTCACCTGTAAAGTCATGGAATCAATTATTAACCAATCCATTATCCTCCACTTAGAGGCAAACAACCTACTCTCTAATAAACAATTTGGTTTCAGAAAAAAATTATCCTGTAATCTGCAACTCTTACACTGCAAAAACATAACTCAATCAAGGCAAAGCAATAGATGCAATCTACAATTCTGTAAAGCCTTCGATTCAGTGGTACAGGACAAACTACTACTAAAACTAAAATCTTATGGTATCTCTGGACAACTGC